ACAACACAGGTATGCGACAGTTTTCAGGATTTAGAATAAACCACCGCTGGATCCAGAAGAGAGAAGGATCTCCAGAGCGCAGAGCTGGCACCTCAGTAAGGAGGCAGGGTGGCCAGGTCTGCCCGCTGTTAGCCACTGGAAATCGATCTCATGCACACCTGAATTCTCCTCATTTTGTGCCATTCAATTCATTCTAAGCATTTTACTGGATTTACAAATCACTTTTTTCAACACTTATTCAGAGAATTATTTTCCACCTAAACCACCTTAAACTATTGAAAATAGGTTGAGAGCTTTTACCTTTCTCAAGTGGCAGTTGTTGGTATCAAACCAATATTAAAGTCAACCATGGAAGAGAAAACAATAAAGTTTCTGAAAGCAAATTGAGAGAAAAGAGTGTGCGTTTGGGGGGTGGGGGGCAGCAGGTGGACGATCACTGCCTATAAATACTTGTATATAAATACAAGGAAAATAAAGACCTGTAATGAGAAATTTACTTTCTGTTATGTTTCACAGCCCGTATAGGAGAAACATAAGATATACATGGAAACATTTACATTGATTTCGGTTGGCTTCAATTCAGTCCATGAGGTATAAAGAAATTATTTCATTATGACTACTTCATTGACTGTCGCACACGGTCAGACATGGAGAAAGTCTCATTGCTGCATTGCCAATGCAGTATCTGCTGTGAAGGTAAAAATCTCCAGCTTCCAGTGCCAGCTACGAAAACACTTCAAACCCTTCAATATCTCAGGCGATCTGATCAAGGGACATCTTTTCATTCCCAGTACAGTGGGCTTGGTACTAGTGGCTGCAGAAAGTGGCTTCCCTAAAAAGGAAAGGCGAAAGAAATCAAAGATTTTGTGGGAAAAAGCTGTGGAAAACACTGTAGGGAGGGAAGGAAGCATCCCCTCCCCCCCAGCCATAGTCAACAGCTATTTGTATAATTGCATTTGCTGACTTCTTTAAAAATAGATAATGCCAGGCATGGCTGATCTAAATAAAAAATTATTATTTTTACCATTAAGAGTATATGTAAACACTTCCCCCTTGATGCTAAGGTTTTGCAAAACATAATTAGAAGTGTAATTTCAATAATTGGTATGATTGTCTTTTGCTTGTCACTCTATTTCCACCAGTAAAATCCCGTGGGATGTAACCATTATGGTGTCAAGTGAACTTTGCTTCGGTGAATGGCAAATGCTGTCAGCTACACTGCAATTGCTGAAGCATCAGACACTGACAGTGTATTTTTCTTTCCCTTCGTAAAGAGGACGTGGTTGGTAACTGGAAGGTCTGGGTGAGGATATCTTCAGTAAATCCCCACAGCAGCAAGCAGGTAACCTATTTATTCAATTTCAAAACAGTGTGAAGAATGACCAGCTTCCAGGACTGGGCAGCCCACATCTCTTCTCCACCCTTCACACCAATGACTAGCACTTGAGAGGTGAGCTGGAAAACTCTGTAGTCATGCTAAGAAACTCCAAGTAAAAAAACAGTCTGAAATATAATCCACACTTAAATAGCTCCAGAGGGATATTTCATGTAGCATTAAAAAAAAGAAAAAGATAAATAATTCCACATGCTACTCAGTTTTCAAAGAGCGGCACCTAAATCACCGCTTCCTATATTGCAACATGAAGACATAGGCCCTCCTACAGCAGTCTGAATAACGCATGAAGGAATTAGGGTAAAAGATTTTCTCTTGATATACTTTGTGTAACTGTCAGGAACTGCTAGTAAAAGAGAAGTTAGCTGATTTTTTTAAGGGGACCTGTAAATGGAATTGATGTCTTCCTTCTCACAGCTGAGGAGGCTCAGAAACACACAGACAAACGAGTGTTTGTCGATAGCTTCCTGATAAACCGGACTGGAAATCAAGCTAGCAATGAAAATATGGCTCATTAGCCACTTTCCTGTCCCAGTATCTTTGGAAATTTTCCTGGATTGCATGCCATCAAGCATGCCACTGACGGCCAAAGTCTGGTTGGTTCCTAAGTGAGTTTAACAGCTAGGCCTATTCCAACAGTCTGCATAATCCAATGACACTTTAGTATTTGCTTTAGTCCAGCCAATTTCTACACCTAGAACAAACCTAGATGGACTTTCTAACTCCATCAGGAAAAAAAATCTGTCTTTAAAAAGAATAACTATTTTTATGATTTAACTGTGTTCTGCTAAAAATAATCCAGTTAGTAGAATATTTGCTCATTGCTATGGAAGCTGCAATGCTCCCGCACCCTTCAACACGTCTTACCTAAATAACTATGATTAATTAAGGCAAAATTGCATTGGGTAAGATGGTCACCTTCAGTACAATTAAAAAGAAATGTTCTGGTACAAAAGCAGCAGCATGCTATTCCTGTTCTCCCGAGCTTTGCTGCAAATATAGACTGACAGGTTAATAAAAGAATTTCTAAACAGTTGTAAGAAATCAGCCATCTGACTCAAGAATTCTGTTCCTCAGTTAAATTATTATTCAGCTACTGAAATCTTCATTTTCCCATCTGTGAGATGACAAAATCCAACGAAAACAGTATTAATATTTATGTTCTAAATAGAAAAGCCTTTCAAAGCACGTTCATAAAGTGGAAAATAAAAGCAGAAGTTTATCCAAAACTTTCTGGCATTTTACATATTTAAAAATTGTCAGCCTTGCTGCCAGGATTTGTTGGCTTTGGAGCAAGAGGTTCTATTTTATGAAAGTTATTAATATGGGTGGATAGTGATTCAACTTCTATATCATTTGAATGGTAAGTTTCTATTATATGGGTCAGTTAATTTTAACTACAGTTCATTCTGTTAAGAATACGGATTCCAAAACTGCCCACAGGTGGACAAAAAAATATTATTGGTGCTATTTTAAATGTTTCACGACAGTAGTGCTTACCTCCTATATAAAGATTATTCGGTAGAATACGCGTACACATGCACACATCAGAGCTACCAGTAAAAATTATATGGATATGAAAATAACTTGGAATTAACAGTGAACTTCTTTCTTTCATAGAGTCATACTGTTGCTTGCTTATGAAACATGAGCAAAATCCAATACCTTATGTTAACAATACAAACTTGACAATCATTAGAAGTAGCTAATGGAAAATTAAATATTCTTTTTTTGTTTGAAACAATTTTGTAAGTCCACATGCATAGAATACTTTTTTTGTATTGCAGCCTACCAACACTTCCAACTTTTCTGATCAGATATATGCTCAAAACGGCTACATCAATATGCCCAACTGCTAAGATTACATGTAGTGTCACTTTAATGGTCTGCATTTACTCAAGGAGAGAACACGCAAAAGAGCAGCAACTTCTACACATTTTTTCCTCACATTCTCACAACAGCAACTGTCAGCACAGGATACATTCATATTATTACATTAGTTTGCAGTTCAAGAGAGAAAACTCATCTTTTAGGCAAGAAACAGAGGCCCAATGTGGGAACCCACTCACCCTCAGCTCTCCAGGCAGTACAAGCATAACTGGCCTAAAATATTTGGATCTTTGAATTCAAGCATACCTATCAACAGCAGCTCAAAAGTAGCAACAGGTACTTCTGTGTGAAGGTTGACACTATTTTTTTCTTTTTGCATACTGAAAAAAAAAAACCAAAACACCACCACTGCATGCAGCACAAGGCAGAAAAACCCAACCCTTTGTTTACAGTTCCCGTGTGCAGAAGTGGCTGCAGTAAGAAAATTCAGGATGGCAAGTCCTGAAAGTGATGAAACGATAACAAGTAAGAGATTTCTTTCAGAAGACTGTTATAATTTCAAAGCTTAATTTTGATCTTAAGTTGGGGAGGGAGGGAGTGATGAGGGGTGTGTGTCTCTCTCTGAGAGGGAGAGAGAGAGATTTGGGTTTGTTTTTTTACTATGGCTTTCAGTAGTGATGCTCTGCTACGTTACTACAAAAAAGTAAGGGCCATTCATTCTTTATCTGAATTACTAAAGCTATTCTAATTTAACTTGTAATGCATATTATTACTGTACAAACCCAACAATGAAGATGAGGAGAGTCATTTGTGTTCATGCCCATAAAAAAAAATAATCTATAGCTGACCAGGGAACTGGGATAGCAAAAATGGTCTCTGAAATATGCATCCATCCGACAGTTCATCAGGCTCTCTGGATTGCAGCCTCTGTCTTTGAGGCAAGGGGAACATGCAGTGGACTACAACAAATTCATTCCCAAAGTGGTGTATGTTGTTTATATAAGGCACTCATTTTTTACTGCTGTGACTTGGCACCATCATGTGGCCACTTTGAGTTTGCTCAATTTAAGTAACAATTACATAGAAAAATGTTTGCAACAAATTAAGTAGAAATTAAAAAATGTTTCAGGCTACTTTAGAAGGAGATGGTACATATGTTAAATATATGTTCACTAAATTCTGAACACATCATCTTCCAATTGTGCTTTTGTTCCCTGAATCTATGCTCATTCAATCATGCTTTCCATCATGATCCGAAGTTGTTAGGCTACAAGACATTTTTCTGTGGTTGGTCTCGGTCCAAACTTTACCAACAGTGTACAAAACCTAAAATGATATTATAGACAACTATCCTCTTCCTCACTACAAGAGCTTTGGGAATGATTTGCAGGATTAAACAGGTCAGTATTTTCTGGTTTACATCCGAAATCCCAAAGGATTTAGAATTTCAGTAAATCTCAAGCATATTGTTTACATAGTACCATCCAAACAGGTAGGGTACATACTAGGACAATTCAAGTTTGTCAGGTATTTCTTTTGCAAAATTTCAGGGTCAAAATCACAAGTAAGGCATCATGTGGTGTACATTTGTATTCTGATATGTTTGCATAGTGTTTTTAGGTGGATGTAAGAAAGTTTTACCAAGTATTAATGAGTAAAAGGCTCAGAGGCAGAAGTCCCCATACATTCCGGTAGCTTACAGAGGCACAACTTTATGCTCACCAGACAAAGAATTGCTATCGTTTACTTCAGAGCAGAATAATGAGAAACAGCAGCTTAATTTATAGGAATATATTTTCAGTATTTTTGTGAAAATATATACATTTAGACTATTCAATACTGAAAAACAGTTCCTCATTTTTTTGAATACAATAATGCTAAATTTGATTCTGCCATTATTGTGATAAAATATATGGTTTCAGCTGAAATACTTTAAAATATATACAAGTTATATACAAATACAAAATTATATTATAAAACTTCTAATTACAGTAAAAAATAATCTAAATATTTTGCAATAATTTGTACACCCAGAGAGTTGTTTCATTTCTAGAAAGACTGCAATAAAAGCAAATGTAGTTTTTCAGATTCCCCAGGCTGAGGTAATGCCCACTTCTCCTTTACATACTGTATGTCTATCTCTCCAGATTCTTTGGCCAGTGCAAGGCCTAACAATCCATTTGTTTTTTCTGGTTCTCCCAGCAGAGCCATAGTCACAACACTGAAATCAAAAGAATGGGGGAGTGGTTTTAATTGAGGCAAAATTAATAGAAATTGGTGTTTTCAAACTTGTTTTTAGCAGGTTACTTATAGTTAACTAAAGGATTCCTTTTTTCTGCTCATCAGTGTAATAGTCCTCACTATTTCCTATTTTACTATGTCCCTGCCTATGGCAGGGAGGTTGGAACTCGATGATCTTCAAGGTCCTTTCCAACCTAAACCATTCTATGATTCTATGATTTCAAGCCCCAGCATGTTCTTTAGCTTTTCACCATTTGCAATCATTTAAGTTAAACATAACAGGCAATTCTTCCCCTGTTCAAAGATTTCTAATCATGACTTAAAAATTATTTCAAGCATGTAAAAATGAACTATTTTTATGGTATTTTCCAGTACAGTGTAGCAACTTTAAAAATTATATTATTTTCTCTAGCAGCGCTTTGCTACAATTTACAAGGCTACAAGGAAAACTTTTAGTTTGAGGGATACTCACCAAGACTAACTAAAGCCTAGGGAAGACAGAGTCTCCAAGTACGGCTCCCATCAGGGAGGAAAGAGAATCCTCAAGACCATAATTCAGAAAGGCTAAATTTAACTCCTTTTCTGCAGCATAGCCAGATCTCTATACTGACTACAGGAACAGTATTGTGAGTCTTGGTGAATACATGCTAGCCAAAAATATTCTTGTTTACTTTGTGACAATGAACACAATATATTTCTTTATATTGGTAACCATACTATATATAGGCATTTTAAAATGTCCAACATATCTTGCCTATTTTAGAGGTTGATCCTGATCCAGCAAAGCTATCTTTGAACTGGAGAAGTCCAGTGATTTTAGTGGGAACAAAACTTTTCTCTTCATATAAACACCAACTGCTCCACGTACAGACGTGTGTCCCAACTGATAACACTATACATGATTTTGAATTATACTAACATTTTTTGTCCTTTATCAGACTGTATACAATAGTAAGTAAATAAGGATAAACTAAAATTTAGCTTGCTATGGTCTCTTTCAACACCTCCAACAATTTAAAAAATATAGTGAGAAAAGCAAATTCTAATGAAGATTTCAAGTTAAGCAAAAAACCCCATCCAAACTGTAATCAAAATGTAGATGATAATAATATCGATATTTTGTTAAAATTAAAGAAATGTAATGTACTTACTTCTCTGATGGAATGGTCTGCTTTGCCACAGGCAGCAAATCATTTTCCAGAAGATCCCAAATGTAAATATTAGATGATGCATCCAGGACAAAAAACACAGAGGGTCTTGTTAAAGCCCACTGCAGGGCAATAACTGGCTGGCCATTTGTGCTGTCATTCCACTGCATGAGGGGATACTCTGATGTCATTTGGTGTAATCTAATACTTCCATCTGAACAGCCAACCTGTATCGTAGTCAAAAAGAAAATACTTCCTGGAAACAAAGCAAACTAAGCAACATAAAAACTGTAATTCTGTTCTTGACAATATCAGTCATATAAATAAAAATATTTATCCGAGTCAAGTGGCACATATCTCTCGTGTCTCACTCTATGGACTATCTGGATTTTAACTTTTAATGTAAATTTTAGTTCAAAAGCACTTAAGTCTGTACTACGCGTACTAGAGTAATCTAATCCACTAATCCTAGGATGAAGTCCCAATTTCCTGTTTTAAAAAAAGTTCTCAAACTACCAACTTCACTAATACTATGATACACCACAACTTGACAGTAGTCGGAATTGGGGCTAGGTCAGAGCCTGGAGACCAATTCAGACGGCTACTTAATGATACATGTAATCTGCAAAACCAAGAATAGCTTTCAGTGGGACAGGCTGTGCTTAACAGTATAATGATATTAAACTGATTCATAATGAACAGCTAAATCCAAAGACAGGCGGATGTCACTGCTTCCAGATATTTTGTTATAATCTTTGTCTTGCTAGTATAATATTTACAAGTTTGCTCTGATCCAGGTTCAAAAAAACTATTCTATGAAAACAGAAAATAACTTATTCTTACTACGTTGAGCCATCTCTACATCAGGAAGACCTCTGAGAATTTTCAAATTATGATGACTTTTCACAGTGACTCTGCAAGTTGTGCTTACATTTAAAAGGACTCTGCAGATACAGACTTATAGAAGTCAGTATCACTCTAAATAAATGCATTTGGGAAAAAGGTAAGAACATCCACACTGGTAAAAGAAAGTTCTGACTGTGCAGTGGCGACACAAAATATGTATGCTGTAGCCAGACACATTCATTTTATACTTTAGGCAACGCCAATGAAGTCATGTGAATCATGGCAAATTTAGAAAGACAGCATTTTTGAGAGAGGATTAAGTACAAATACATGCAAGGATAAGCAGATCGAAAATCCTACCAAAGTTAGATTCAACTTGCACTGAATAAACTTTCATAAGGGAGACAAATAAAAACAGTGGGTATGTCAATATGAAGTGCTGAGGGCAGATTCGAACCCCCCGACCGCAGGGTACACTGCCAGGTGGACCCCAAGGGTAAGACTGACGTGGAGAGGAAAGGAAAGCAAGGAATGCCCAGAGCTGCCCCACAGACTTTTATTTCACAGCAACGCAGACATTTTGTCTCCAAAATGATTATGTCACTAAGACATGTATGATAAGAGTGAGAAACAGCTGAGACTTCATTAACAGCAGCAGACCTGCTTGCAATGCTGAACGTCAGTAAAAAATAAGGCTGAAGTGAGATTGCCATTTGTTTCTGCGAGCCAGATGGTCCACCTTTTACACAAGCAAAGTTCAAACTCCAGAATACAAGATTTTTTGGCACCCCTCATGGTAGACTGGAATTAATGAGGTAGATCAACTATCTCATCTAGTTAAATACGTCAAATTAGAAATCCGCCCTCAGCAAGTAAATAAAAAACAAAACTTGTATTATATTAAAATGTTTTCATACCAAAAATAGTGGCTTTCCAAAAGGGAAGAAATCAATTGTATTGATGCTTATTGATCTCAGTCCGCTCTCCTGGGGTCTGAATAGCTTTGGAAGAACTTTTAAATCATGTCTTGTACTATGGCCTACCAGCCCCTACGAACAATATAAAGAAAATTAATTAAACAAAACAAACCAAAATTTGCATTATTAGTATTACAAGAAAAAGTTAAATAATTCACAGAGCTGCTACCTTAAAAAGATATTAATAGCTAACAAATTTTAATAGCTAAAAGATTTTAATAATAGTCTCAAACTACGAATTTTATATATAGTACAGATTTTAATAACAGTCTCAAACTACGAATTTTATATATAGTGCATCAGTATAATTCCAAGCGGGGCAGCTTCCAAAACAAAAAATAACAATGAGCTGAATTTCAGCACATTACTCACAATGTTTGTTCCAACAATGAAATGATTAGGATTAGAAGACAGAAATTTAATAGTCAGTGTCTGGGGCATTCTCTGGCGCACATCCTTTGGGAAAAGGCTAGGAAAAACATAAAGGTAAAAGATGACATAAATACAGGAAGTTGTCTCCTAAAGCTATGCAAGTACATACAGAACCTCTTGATCTAAAACGTCTATGACTAGCTCTAGAAATAAATGTATATTAAAAGAAACCAAAACAACTAATGAAAACATTGTTAAATATATCTTACATAACAGCAAATGAATAAAGTATAGGAAAAATTACCTTTGTGAGATACATGAGTAAAATCTAAATATTCTTGATTTCTTACCTGTTATTCAATTCCATAGCAGAGCTATGAACTAACTTCACTTTCCCTCCAGGAATTAAACCTAGAATTATATAAAATAATTATTTAAACTGATTTAAACACTTTCCCTTAAGTAAGTGCTATCATCAAACAAAAACCTAAGCTAATAAGTTAAAGGTACTTTTCACTAGGGCATGTAGTGACAGGATGAGGGGGAATGGCTTTAACCTGGAAGAGGGCAGGTTTAGATTAAATATTAGCAAGAAATTTTTCACTTTGAGGGTGGTAAGGCACTGGAACAGGTTGCCTGGAGAAGTTGTCGAGGCCCCATCCCTGGAGGTGTTCAAGGCCAGGCTGGACGCGGCCCTGGGCAACCTGGTCTAGGGGGAGGTGTCCCTGCCTGTGGCAGGGGGGGTGGGACTCAAAGATCTTCAAGGTCCTTTCCAACCTAAACCATTCTATGATTCTATGATAATTAAATTGTTTATTGTAGATGTAGCTTTTGATACGTAAGAATCTCACATCATTTAGAACTATTTACTTCAGAATTCAAATCTGAAGAGTTGTAACCTTTGATAGAAATCAAAGAAAGAGGACAGAGAAAGGGAAACATGATTATATGTTTACTTTATTTTTACAGTATGCATATAACATCCTGTAATATCACTCTATAAAACCCAATTCTATCAATAGTGAAAATGCACATTTATGTCACTTGGACCTTTGACAGCGAATTATGGTAATGAGAGACTGTAATACTTCCATAAAGTTGGTCTATGTTACTTGTTAGTAGAGAATAACATAAACAATTCAAATCCTTCAAACACAAAAATCTTTGGAAGACAAAAAAATGAATGCTGGTGGCAGTAAAACTGTGCCAACACACGACCATAGCTTTAAAATGTACCTCTCCACAGACATAATACCCAGCTTTAGCAGCTCAGTATAGCCAGACATGGCACACGAGCTTGCAAATTAGAAAATTGATCAAAATCTCTAGTTTGTTAGCACTACTTCATTGTTTGTACAAATATTTTAAAATGTATCAGGATTTTAATCACAGTCTTTTCCACTTAGGTAAGTATACAAGTCTAAATTTGTTCAAAGAACAAAACCCATAATTTTCTCATTCACATAACTCAAAAAAGGGCTGAATGGACTTAGTTCTTTACTTTTTTCATGGAAACTCTTTTCTCACACTAAATTAAGGACCTTACCCAAAGCAGAACTTTCAGGACAATTATCAAAATGGAGATACTGGTGACAACAAAAGCATTGTAATGGATTTGGTTAAAACTAAAGAACAGGAGGACTGAGAAGGACATAAAATCCCATATTCTCTGGAGAAAAAAAAAAAAAAAAAAAAGCTGTTGAGGACACAGAAATTTGCTTTAACATTTTAAGTGGTTGTCTGTGGTGGCAATTACCAATATAGAATTAGCAAATGAGATTCAGATAGCAGTGAAAATAACTCTCATGATACCTAACCAATAATCCCAAATATCAGATTTATGTCCTATTCAGAATGAATCTTTTCCTCAGTAATTTGTGCCTTCTAAATTATTTTTGTCATCACTGACTCCTGCTCTCTTCTAACTTCACAGCCTCAAAACTCAAGCCCTTTAATTCTACCTCTAATGTACAGTACTCACCTAAATCAGTTTGTGAACCAGCTAAATCCACCTTTTGTAATTCAACAACTACCTGAAAAGTCAATATTTAACATTAATAAGCAATAAATACTTAGCAGACATTTTTTTTTAAACTAGTTGTAATAACATATGACATAACTCTAAGGGAACCTTTAGATAGGTAGGTCTAACATTACAATTATTACAGGTAGATTTTTTTTATCCCCTGTCAATGTCTGCAATGCTAAAAATTACTTCACGTGCCTGCTGGAAAACAGAATAGGGGAAGTCACATTCTACACTTAATCGCTACTTGGCATCTTGTTAGTTTGGCGGGTCTCAACAAAAACGCCTTCAACCCCCAAATACGGAATTGTAACACATTTTCTGTGCTTTTCAGTATTCAGAAATAGAAAGGGTAGATCATTTGGCCTGAATCTGTTGCTACTAAAATTACTTAGAGCTTTAAGGGACTTAACTAGCGATACAGAAGGAAAGTACTTTTATCTCCTTATTATTCACTGAGCCATTCAGTTCCTCAAGCAAAATCCATTCAGATGCAAACAACAGGTTCCGCAGCTGGGCCAAAGCTGCATCAGAAAAAGGCTGAAAATATCTGATAGAAGGAAGAGTTGTCAGGACAGCAATTACGAGCAACAGCCCTGGTGCTTACCTGACCATCATATTTTAGGCAGGGTAACCTTTTCCACAGATTTTCACATTTTGCCTCTTGAACATTTATTTTATATAAATTATGAATGTTATTTCTCACGTACATTCAGTACAGTCTCTGACACCACTGTGATTCAAATAAAATAAAGTAGGTGGGTGAAAGAGGACCAAGGTCTATAATTCAGTTAATAGAAATATGTGAACATATATTCCTGTGAAGCAGAACTACTGATTGCCTGTTTTCATGAATTCATGTACCTCTTAAGAGTTTCATCTAAGGACAACATTACGGCATTAGAGAGTCAGGTAAAAAGTTTGAGGAGGATTTCAACAGAATGGCTAGTGTTGCTGTAATTTTCAGGGAGGAAATTCTCATCAGAAATCCCAGATTCGGGTTGCTATATTTGAAGTATTTTGTTATTCCAACACGTGATACTCTTTTCATACTTCTATTACTCACCCACATATTGAGGATTCCATTTTCATCCATTGAAGCTATCTGAAATGGAGGGCCTGACATTTCTATGGAAGGATTAGCAAAAATTTATATGCACACATTGGCTTCATCCTGAACAATATCAAAGGATTTGAAACACTTCCTAGGTTAATACATTCTCTCAAACTTCTATGATCCTCTCAGCTGCATAAAAAGGGAAAGCGCCCTGATTCTACCAAAGATGAAAAAGGCATGAAACTTTACCAAGAGGGTGGTCAAAGACTGGAACAGGCTTCCTAGAGAGGTGGTCGATGCCCCGAGCCTGGCAGTGTTTAAGAGGCATTTGGACAATTCCCTTAACAACATGCTTTGACTTGGTCAGCTCTGAAATGGTCCAGCAGTTGGACTAGATGATCGTTGTAGGTCCCTTCCGACTGAAATAGTTTATTATATATCTCTGTGTATTCTAGTATGTTCAGTTCATCCTACTAGAAAGGCAGATGATCTCTGTCTGCATCTTTTAAAATGCCTGGATTCTGCATGGGCTTTGGAACAGGACGTAAAGTGCAGTAGATGAAATCTTGTAACACCGGCAATACGCAGCACATTTCTTTGGACTACTATGGATTTCAAAGTGAAAATCTGCAATCGAAGCAATAATGCCACCTCTAGCACACTGCCTGAGAATTTGGGGGCATGAGGATTAAAGTTTCTTTACAAAGGTTGGTCATAAAAAAATTAGGCAAAAGGCACAGGAAGAACCATCAAGTACAGTCACACATTTTAAGTGTTTGGACATAAGTAAATTGCTCCACTGATTCAGACAGTGCTTCTATAATGTCTGAAAAAACCCTAAGACTTCTTTGAAGGTAGTTTTTGAATGATAACTTGTTTTATCATGGAAGAACAAAATAATGTCTTGAAAACAGACATTATCACAAGCATGCACCCACATCTGATGTGAAGCTGCACTGAATGAACATTACATAAAAATGAGAGCAGAAAATAAACATGAGTGTTGTATGCAATTGATACTACAGACAACTTAAGAGGCAGACTATAATTATAAAATGGATTTTGGCTTTGATATATTTGTTTTACTAGCCACATAAAGAAAGAATCAGACATATTGATACTTTGAAGAGCAGCTTACATACCCTCCTGATAAGAGAGGCTTGAGAGCCCATAATTCTGATCAGTGTTGAGAGAGGTTGAGACAGGTTCCACTGCTAGTATAGGAGAGGTGTGGTTTACTGAGTTTAGAATGCCATCTGTAATTAAGGATAATGAAAATTAAACACTATACTAGTCTCAACAAAAACAACAACAAAACCCTAATCATTTTTCAGCTTATGGAAGACTGATGACTACAAAGAAAGAATGGCGAATAATGCACTTCATAAAGAATTACTTTGTAAAAGTCTCAAATACAATTCTGCAAACTGTTTCCTAAATTAACAAAATACTACTAGATAAATCAATGTTTCACCATTTGTATATACTTGTCATTTTCCAAATGACTGCTGCACTATTTATGCCACTGTACCAGACATTTCATTAAAATCTGCCATTTCGGGGTTACCATGAAAGGAATTATGTTAATTTCAAGCTCCATAAACAACAGAGGTAGAAATAAATCACTGCTCACTATACAAAAGATAAAATTGAAGAAAAATTACTCTTAATAGAAAGTAACTACCCTGAAACAAACAATTCACCACAAGAAAATATGTATTCACCTTTTCATAACATTTTAAAATAACTGTATATTTAAAGCAACTTCAATATGCATTCTTTGTCAGATACTCTTGATTTCTGGACTCGCCCTGTGCACTGAACTTAATCTCATTTAAGACTAACGGCATAAAGCTTCCTAAGTATACAGCATTAAAATCTGCTTGCTTATATAAGCAACTACATGAAATTGTTTACATACATTTGAATACTAGCCCCTTGTGCAACACAAGACCAACCATCTTTGATCTACTAAACAAATTAAGTCTATCAACCAACTAATGTTTATTTTTACATGGCTACTGCAATTAGACACCCTTGTGAACAAAAGAGGATTTTGTGCATGTGTGGTGTGGTTTTTTAGAAAAATAATACCTCGGTGTAAGTTAAATGGTAGCACCTGCACACATAAAAAAGGACTTATTTTGCAATAATAAAGTTATTTACAAAAATATTGTGTTATTTTTCACTCTAGGGTACAATACAGTGCCAACAAAAATGGCACCAATTTATAATTAAGATTGAGACAAATGCTGGCATGTACTCCTCACTCCCGATCTCTCAACATACTACTACATACAATGAAAATGTTAATAAGATTAATGGCTTGCTGCTCTATTTAAATTTGCAATGACAAATGTTGGTATTAGGCATAAAGATCCATACATTTCCATCAGATCCATAAAATTTTAAGGATCTCATACACCAATTCAAATGCAGACTAAGTACTTTGGACTGCGTCTTCTAGTATGTCAGTCGTATGTCCTAAATGAACTTCTGCAATTTTTGAATTTGTCGTCCATGGATTATAAGAAAATTTACAAAAGCCTATGTTATTTTGATCATACATTAAAGGATCAGAAGCATAGAAAAAAAAGAGAAATTCAGTGACAAGAAAACAAAGGATGAAAGGAGGTCACCCACAAGCACTTTTGCAAATTAAGCTTTCTTCTGGCTTCCCAATATGTACACAACACTAATTTAGGCCATGTCTAAACAATGCAAGAAATGAATTCCACATTATTTTTTGTTGCTATGCTTCTCTGACATTAAGAACCTGGAAAGTGCATGCTAGAGCTCCTAACTGACCCCAGTGATAGAGATTTTGCTCATGTGACAAGCTGGATGACAGAAAAACGTATGTCCAGGTTTTGCTCCAACATGCAATTGTACATTTCTAGAGATATCGAACCAGAGAGCTTTTGGGCCCCAAAGTTTAGTCACAGCTTCACAATCTCTTCAACAAAAGACTTAAATTAACTGACTGCTGACTGCACAAGTCAGAATTCAACTTATTCCATTATATAGATCACCTCTGACATTTAGCCTTCAAAGACTACTTGTTTCCAATGATATGATCCCCATACATGCTGAACCAATAATATAAAAAGACAGTTGTATATGTAATGAAAATATGAGAAATTCCTAGATCTTACATTGCTACAATAATTTATAAATCGGCAATAAAAAAACACAATCCTGACTCAACTTTTAGTGTATCTAGATAGAATCCAGCAATTATAAAGTCACATAAGTGGAATTTTAGAAATGCATAAGTGAGAGATTCAGACCAAAGATTAAGACACTTAAAATGGTATCTACATATAAGACAGCTGGGTAATATGTGTAAGTCAACTAAATCTAATTAATACAATCAATCCAGCTAACGATATACAGATATCTCATCATTAGGATGAGACGAATAGCTCTCTATATCCCACAGAGTAGCACTGCACTGTTTCTAACAGAGGCTATGCATGTATACACTTGGATCTTGCATGCAACCTTATAGAAACACCAAGACTTAGATGACAATTTGTATGGATTGCAAATTTTAAATGATGTTTGAAAAGTTACGTTTTACAGCCTTAAATTACTTGGATTTTTTTAAAATACATCTTAATACGTGTGGTTAGATGTAGATAAAAAGCAATGTAGGTTATATTAAGGGAGATAACATGATGCAAATTGACTAAGCTAATAAGTTCAGATGAGATAGTAGTTGAGTAGTCCATTTTAATATTACAATGCTCCTTATGTTCTACATCTGGTCCACCTCTCTATCCTCACTGCTTGATGCATATTGAGCTTGCTTACATTTCTTTAAAGCTATTACTGGTTGGCAATTTTTGCTAGACTAGGCTACGGAGAAAGAATGTTCTTAGAAGAATTAGTAGTGGAATTGTTCCACTGCCTATAAAATGACTAATCAGAATGCATAGATACTAACCAGTGGAAAATGTTGGAACTCTAAATGTCCAGTCAGTTTCACTGATCATCATATGAGGATGCATTCTTGAGTCTTCTCGAAGATCCCACACCAACAATGAACCATCTATTGTTCCAGCAAAAACTAGTGTTGTTTTATTGGGACTAAAGCAGCAACATATCACCTATTAAGCAGTAAAAATATGCACGGTTGATATTATGATAAAGGCCAGTGATTTGATAAGCCTGAAATATATTTGTTCTTCCTAGGCAGGCAAAGACAGATTACAGGCGTTTGCAGCAGAAGTACAATTTATTTAAAAGGGAAGTAGCATACAAGACTTTCAGTAGGCCTTCCCTTTTAAGGACAATTGTTGTGTAATCTGCATCTACTGCCACAAAGCTAAAGGGGGTGACTCAACTCTATGATAGTGATGGGTACAGAGAAGTCCTGACAACATCTGAACCAGCTGTTTTACTTCTGTTCACTCATCAACCATGAAATGGATTCAAAATTAAAAATAAAAAAAACCCACAACAAAACAAAAACCACAAAACACTATGACCATCATTACATTCTAGAACAGAAGCACAAACTGGAATGAGAATTCCACTCACTACACTTAATTATGTTTCCTCAAAAGATGACATATCTTGCAGCAACACAAGAAAACTAAATACCCATAATAAAGCCTTTTATTCAATGGGGAAATATGCAGTGTTGTTAAAACATACCTCTGAGTCACATATTAAAACTTTCTGAGGACTAGAGGGCTGCCAGATGTTCCAAACACATATGATGCTCTTTCTGTGCAGTAAACCAACACCTGCCTTTTCAGGTAATCCATGAACAGAAAGTAGTGTCTGCCTCTGAACCTGAGAGACACATAGGCAGGATATTTTTCGGTCTAAACCATTAAGAAAAAAAAATGGGGAGAAAAGCAATAAATAAAGTAAACTCACTGCAGGTAAAAAAGCATATTTAGCTGCTATAGCAACAACCGAAAGAGCTAAGACGTAATTATGAAGAATATTTCTATTAACAGTGCGTTGTTTTTGATACTCTACAAGAAAAAAGGAGGGACTAGAGAAGAAATAAAAAAAATTAGAAGTAGAAAGCAAAAAGGAAGAGAGTCAGAAAGTTAATAGAACAATTATTCTGGGCATAAGCAAGCAAATCTGTTCTGACGTCAGTATATATACTGAAAATGAAATTAAGTCTCAAACAGAAAACAGCACAAGCCAGACTTTTTCTGGTTCATCTTATGTGTTCACGTTAGAATGGTTTTGTGTTATAATAGGTCTTCCTAACGTAATTACAGATGCTTTATTTTTCATTTTTCTTTTCATCTAAATGTCTACTGTTTATATGGGGAAGATATAACTGCAGTTCAAATATATCAAACTATATTCTCCCTGTTCAATAACCTTGCTTTATTTGCAACTTTGGCTTTACTTAGGCATTAAGATCCTAAATGAAATTACACCCCTTGGGATGGCCCTCCAACAGCAAGGGCAAAAAATTACATCCAGGGCACCCCTATATCATGCTAATCGCTGGCTACACTTCTGGTTTCACACCAGCTACGATGCCCTGATGTTCCCTATGTGAAAACAATCTGCACAGAGTTACAGCAAGATTAGCGCACTTAAAAGAAAAGTGGGCTTTACATCATCTATATATCCTGATACGTGCTGTTTGCACTTCAGTCATGACAAAGAGCATTTTGCATAAGGAAGAAGAGTTCACACTGAATACTAAAAGGTGTAGAATAAAGTTCCCTTACCATGGAGGAATGGCTGGTTAGTATTTAACTGGAAACAGCTATCACTAATAGACAGACTGGTTTGTCGAGATCTTAGTTTCCACCTGGGTTGTGTTGCAACTTGATCTTCCTCTAGCAAAACAGCAATCACCTTTCAAACATAATTACATTTATAGAAATAAAAGGGTCGTCTTATCTTACAGCTTTGCTATTTGTAGCTTTCTAAAGTATACGGATTAATTTAATAAATTTTTATCAACTGTCTTGTTAATTTCTTATCTTTGCAAACACAGCTTTACAGACATAAAAGTTGCACAGCTCTGGTTCCATTACTTTGCAGAGAGAGATGAATCTCACTGATAATGAGTATTATTTAAATCAGTCAGAACAAGTACTGTAAGTGATCTATCACATCGTATACTTATGCACACAACTCATAAGGGATATTAAGTACATAAGTGTACCTGACAAGCAGACCGGAGGAAATTTGCTAATCTTTGTGAATCAATTTTAGGTGTTAGAGCTCTATTCGTTGACATATCATGGCTGTTTGTGGGACCTAAGGAAAAACAAAAAACAAAACCAAACTTGAAGTTTCTAAAGAGAATCAATTAAGAAAATCATAAGAACAATGTAATTTTTAATCCAGAGGAGAGTGGCAGGAATCAACTTCTCTTCAGCAGAAGTAGCAGTACTGAAGAACAAGATCTGTTGGGGAATCGTATCTGCTGCCAACAGAAATAGCAATCCAGAAGGAAGAAACTATTTCTGCCACTTATTCTCCACCCCCTCCGCAAGGGGATTCAGAGTGCCTATAGGAGTTTGCTGTCAGTGCAGCCTGTTACAGTACAAATTCTGACAATGAATTGGTACAAAAGAGAAAGTTTACATGCATACGTCCATAAAAGAATACGATTAAAATGTTCTTCACCTCCAGATACAAGGGCACTTTCTCCTGGATGCTGTGTCCATTTCTCCAATGTCTCAACTTCCTCAGTCTGAATGTCTCTCTCAAGATTGTCCTCATTACACTGAACATATGCCTAAAGTAGAAAGATAGAGTGAACAATATATGGGTGACACAGTGAAGAATGACAGCACATAAATGAACAGAACTTAAACAGTCATTTTAAAACTGATGTGCTCAACCTCTTCTGTCTGTAAATTCAGACCCAAGCATACTGACAGTGTCACTATTTGACATGCATGCACATTTTACCACGTTTCACACAAGAGTTCTAGACTCATTGCAATAATACAGAACGTCTTACATGATGCATAACGACTAAACCCAGCATACTTGGGACAGTGAGCCACAGGCATACAGAAAGTCTTTTAGAAAACGGGGAAGGAATATGAGAGAGTCCTCTTCTAATACAGAGAGGAAGTGGCCTTTCTGGCCAAAAGTTTTGATATCATTGCTTTATGGTAATTAAGGCTTAGAGATGAAAATTATTAGTTTATTACTTTACTGTCCTATCGGCTTTAGTAACTTTCTTTTGTAAGGAAAATTATTTCCCAGAACAAGAATCAGCACTTTCAGGATTTAAATATTACTAAATATTTGTTACCCACCTGCTTAGTGTTCATTTTACCGAAATTCCTGATATACATGTCATACTCATTTACAGGAGGCAAATCCAATAAGGAAAAACTAACTGAGAAGTCCAGATCAATCAGTGGGAGAAGTTCTGAACTCCGTTTTCTTTAGAATGAATTACAGGAGAGAAACACAAAAATGGTTAAGACCAAGTATTTGGTATTCCAAAAGCAAAACAATGTGATTTTGTACAGTACGAGGGATCTAACAATCCATTGATCTATGTGAATTGAAGATGTACGGAACTTAATTGACAGATAAAAATATATGAAAGAAGTCCACATAATATTGTTATGAGTTGTCATCTAATGTTACGCAGAGATAGTTATCATATTTAAAAATGTAATACTGATTGCAAATGGCAAACTTATGTGGCTTGTTATTAAACCCCAAACTGTCAAAGCCTAGAACAATCATCTTGCCTAAATATTCAAAAGCTGTTCTGTGAGGTAACAGAAGAATGTCTCTTTCTTCTTAAAGTTAGGATGGTGGCTAAGTTTCCTAAACTCATTTTATTAACTTACATCACCTATATGTGTACATGCTTTATAAAGATAATCTATAATGTCCTCATTTTGTTAGACTTAGCTGGGGAAGGACTTTTTACTAGGGCATGTAGTGACAGGACGAGGGGGAATGGCTTTAAACTGGAAGAGGGCAGGTTTAGATCAAACATTACGAAGAAATTTTTCACTTTGAGGGTGGTAAGGCAGTGGAACAGGTTGCCCAGAGAGGTTGCTGAGGCCCCATCCCTGGAGGTGTTCAAGGCCAGGCTGGACGTGGCCTTGGGCAACCTGGTCTGGTGGGAGGTGTCCCTGTCTAAGGCAGGGGGGTTGGAACTCGATGATCTTCAAGGTCCCTTCCAACCTAAACCATTCTATGATTCTATGACTTATGCAAATGCATTTTGAATGACCTCCACTGGTAACAGACTGCCTGAATTCACATGTCTTCACATCACTAGGGAAACAAATAACAATAGCAGCAATCCTAAAATATATTTTAAATATATACATGAAATGAATTTACTGTTGATAAATAACCTGTAGACATGAATACCAACCTCCTCCCCAAAAAGCAAACCTCCAAAGACCATCAGTAACTGGACTATTGGACTTGATCTAAATGGCATGAAAAGGACTACTCGAGATTAAGGTACGTATTTTTCCACTTGTATTTTTTGTTTTGAATAAGATTAGCACATTTTACAGTATTTGAGATAACTAAATCTATTTGTCCTATGAAATACCAGATCTTTCCATCTCCTTGCTGGAATGATAAAAAAAGTAACTCAACTGCCTTATCCAGCTTCCCTCAGTCCTTTTACTTTCTGCCTATTTCAATTCTTAATTTTTTAATCTTTGCTTACAAATAAAACTATATTTTGATTCTTAATTGGAAAACAAGTCTACCTTGATATGTTGCATCTTAGTCTGACAAGTAAAAAACATCTATGTGATATTAAAACATTTTTGTGACGTTACTTATTATCATCAACTACAAAGATATTCCTACCACTCTACTTGTATGGATGCGTGGATAATGAAAAGACGGTCAATCTTTGTCACAATTCTCACAACTATCTACTTCAATGTCATAAATCTGTTAAGATATTTTATTTTAAGAGTTAACTGCTTAAATTACATACAGATGTATGTTTAAAGTTAATTCCATGCTCTTGCTATAGAAGAGATTCCTTGACAATGAGAAAATTTTTGTAGCCTTCTTTTCTCTCTCTTGCTCTTTCAGGATTTTTTTAATATACTTAATATAAATACAACCCAGATACAATTATGTGTCTGTAGTAATTTAATATCTAAACAGTCTTACAGATGTATATTCTAGTAGCAGTTTCTTTTCAGTAAGACAGTCTTTGAACCAGGAAAAGACCAGAGCAACATGAGCTGGAATTTGTCTTCCAATATTTTAGGCTGTATTTTTCTTTATACATAATGATAATTTTCACATCTCCTTTCACTACTTGATGACATCTCTTGCATTTTCTTACCCACATTTTATTTTTACTTCTACTTCCTAATGCACCACCTCTTCACAAATATTGAGGGCACAGATTGCTGAGATCTAATTCAAACGTATTAAAGTTGCTTCCTAGTTACAAATCTTAATGGTACACACAGACAAATCCTTAAAATAAACTAATAAGCCTCTTACTAATACTTACAATGTCAAAGTGCCACAGGACATTTATGGGATGCTTTCAGTCTATTCACTGGTAGCAGTGTATTATCACAACATTAAATTCCACAAACCCTTTCTCTTTCCATTAAAATGCTAGTTATCTTCACAGGCTACATACATTGTTAGCATGTACACAAAGTTATATACATAGTCATAATCAGTCATAGCATGTAATCAGTAGAGGCTGACAAACATTTCAGAGGGCAAGTCTTCAGAAAGATGCCTTCCTGAATTTCCTAACCTGTCTCCACTATCTAGAGAGGAAGCCTAGACAATGAACTTGTGTAAAATTTGGGCATATAGTGGAATCTAGTATTATAAAAAAAAATATTAATATTCTTGCTTTATGTGTCCAACTGATGTAACAGCAAATTGGAGATCTATACAGTGCTTTACATAAAACTGGAGCTCCTGGCAAGTTCCACAAGAAACAGGCAACAATTTGTTTCTTTAATACAGAGCTGTCGCAGATGTCTCAAATCTACATCAATTTTAGATCAGTAATAACATGTTTTTACACCAACTGGTGTTATCTCTGAAAGGGAACATGCTATTTTGGCAACAGTATGTACCATATAGAGTCTTAGTTATTTCAAGAAATTACAGTTCTGTAGAGCCCTGAGAGCAGATAAAAGGCTTGCTCTTTAGTACTATAAGTCCAATTAAGTGACTGAAGAATAATACAAAGAAATTACAATCCTGGCAACTCATTCTGTAATAAAATGATACACAGAAACTGATACATAGATAAATTTCTGTTATCAAATGGCCTGTAGATTATATTTACTTAAGAACTAAATACTTTAAGCTTACAAAATAGTATTTGCCTCTAAAAGTCTCAGGATTATAAACCTCACATATTTCAAATATAATAAAAAAATTACGTCTCGCACAGCGTAATGACATTTAGTGTGGTTTATTTAAAATTCACTTACTTCTGCTTACTAGCCATACTTCGGCTACTCTGTCGTTGGTTTGCCATTTGAAAATCCATGAATATTCCACAAGAAGAGTTTCTGACAGAAGGATATTGCCTTTCTGTGATAGTATAAAACATTATTAGTGTTATAATTCACACTTGACAGTGCATTAAAAAGTAAAGCAGTAAGTCTAAAAAGCAACAGATTGATTATAACACAGCTACTAAAGGTTACCAGTTTGCACATTACACAAAGTGCTCTAGCACAGTTATCAGTACAATAAGCTGCTTAACTTCAGTAATGGGCCAGCATTTTTCCCTTATTATGGTCCTTTATCAAACAATTCAAAATGACTGGCCATTGTAATTTTTATTTTACAAGAAAGGGCCTCTTTCTTTCTCCTGCCACTAGGAGGTCCTTTGTTTCCCTGTGTACAGTAAAACACCGTATGAACAATTCTAAAAATCGTATCAAATTCACAGACTACACCATGTGCATGTTACACCTCTGAATAAGAATTCATCAGTACAGTTAGTGGAGAAACTCATCAACACAAGCTTAACTGCCCTTGGATGAATAAACAAAACATTGAAAACTGTTGCTTCAAAAGCCACAGTTAATGGAACAATTACAATATCTGTTGTCATGTCGATTTTACTCCCTTTCCTGGCTAGGTAGAAGCTAATTGACCTTAATATCCAACTTCCAGTCAGGACCAATGGAGTTTCACTCCCTCAGAGGAAGACTGCCTTACTAGATAGTACTTGTAAAATGCTTTTAAACTTCCAAAAATCATTATCAAAATGATCAACAATTTTAACCAAACGAGATCAAAACTTTATCCAAAAAGTGTGGTGTAATTTACAATAAAGCAGTGCTACAATTCAGAATTTAAAAATCTGATTCTATATTAGAATTCCATCCTGTTCGTTAGATCTATAACATCAATTGAATTATTTTCTTGATTTGATATTGTTGAATCTCCTAGATTGGAGAAGACCTGTAAGATCATCTGGTCCAATCATTAACCTAACACTGACAAGCCCACCGCTAAACTATGTCCCTGAACACCATATCTACACGACCCTTAAATACCTCCAGGGATGGGGACCCCACCACTCCCCTGGGTAATGCGTTCCAAAGCCTGATGACCCTTTAAGTAAAGAAATTCTTCCTAATATCCAATCTAAACTTCCCTTGGTGCAACTGTAACCATTTCCTCTTGTTCTGTCACGTATTACTTGACAGAACAGGTCGACAGTATTATGGTATACGGGTTCTGACTTGCAAAGACAACTTAACTGAAAATCTATTGATACTGTAAAGACTTGCAGAAACTCCATGCTATTCTTCTGTGGCTGTACTAACTTTGTACGAACTAGAGTAAAAAGCTGTTTAAAATTCTTTTGCACGATGATTCTATACTGACATTCACAGGAGTGAAGAGTGCAAAGGAGAACCACAGCTGTAGTTAGTTAAATAAGTACTGGCACTCATAGGTATCAGATCAACTGAAAACAAGACAATAATTCCCTAGTCACATTCCAGCAAAAAACCCTGAATTTTAGAAGTGACATAGAACTATATATTTAACTAGTATCTGTATTTCTCTTGCCTTCCCACCCAGAGCAGTCGCTTCAACTTTACTTCAAAGAAAAACGCGAATTAATGTCACCGGAAGCCCCAAACTGTCCTAGCACTCCTCCAGTTTTCAAAATCCAGACTCTCATATCCTCCTCTTACCCAAAATAAGACATATTAAATGTCAGTCTGTAAATTTTTATACTTCACATTTTAAATGATTAGTAATGCCTCTGAATCATTCTTTCGCAATGTGAAAGTTACAGTACTTACCCACAAACCTAAGTGACTCATCCAGAGGACCAGATTTCTGCCTCTAGGCAGACTTCTAGAAAAAATGGCCTGTTTACTCCGAAGTTGTATGTGTTACTCATACATTTAATAAAAAAAGACTGGTATCTAGTCACATACCCATGATTGGTTCCTTTTTCACATTTTCAATTTTCTTTGACAGTGAAGTGCAAATTCTATCATTTTCTGCACTAATTGCTCTTTGAATTTCTTCAATTTCTGATGTTCTGGAAAACGGAATCTCTCTTAGGTTTTCTTCTGCACCTCTTTCTTCACCACTTTTGTCTTCGTCATCATCAAAATCATCTTCATAATCCTTTAAAAGTAACAGGACTTTCAATAACTAATAAACATAGATTATAGATGTATTTTTCAAGATGTCTTTTAAGAAACTATAAAATACTGCCAAAATAAAAATAAAATTCTCAAACAGATGGCTATAAATCCTCTGACTTAAAGGCATTTTAAAAGAACTGTTTCACAGAAAGAAAATGCTATGTCTTGATTGTGTGGTAATTTTAATCAAGAGAAGACAATCCCACAGTGTTACTCTTCAGTGCCCAAAACAGATTCGTTTTGGGTTTTTTTTAAAGATCCTAAAGTAGGAACTATATGTTTAGATGAACTATGTGTTCTTTAAACAAATAAAATGACAGATCTGTTTGCAGGTCCCTGCACAAGGCTCATACTTTAATAATTATCTTAACTAAGATAATTCATCTCATGCTAAAATAGTCACCTAACACAAATGATATGAACAAGTCATAAACGTGCTCATTTCTCTCCACTGAATGGCAAGGGGCTACTATAGTGAACAGTTCAACAGTGGACATCACTCCTAATGTAAGTGGACATGAATTCTACTTTCACTGAACAAAGATGTGGCTGGTTCAGCTATCAATGAAAGCACATTCACCACACTCTTCCATCTTAGTAACTTTAAAGCAAACAAAAGAGAGCTAAAAGTAAGAGAGTTCAATTAAACAAATTAGTGAATTAAACAAATCAGTGACACACTGATGTGTGTCAATATTTTTTTCTATATGTTTGCAATGAAAACCAATGAGGCTTCTTTTTCCACCTGAAATTTATTATTTGCTACCATTATTTAAAAAAATAAAAATAAAAAAATCAGCATTTTCAGAGAGAATCATTTCCATAATTGAAATTCAGGAAGACAGAAAGAGAATCTTGTGAAGACTTGAACTCAAAAGCAAAAGTTCATTCCAAACCCCAGATGAAAACTAAGTAAACACGTAGAAGAGTGTTTCTAAATAAGATTTTAGTTAGTTAACATCTCCTGTTAGCCAAGTTAAGGTCTCTGTCACCAAAAAAGAATAAGTAAAAACCATGTAACATCCTGTGATTTTTTTTTCTGTGAAAAACATTAATCACTATTTTGATGCTTAAGAATTACTTCAAAAAGATAATTGTATGCTTTTACTTACTTCAAAATCATCTTCATAATTTGCTGAAAAGTTATCAAATCCTGTGTCTGAATTATAGATGCGTGTATCTTTCACTTCCTAAATGAGAAAAATAAATGAAACTGGTAAATAATCTTATAAAAAAATTAAATCTTTATCTGCCAAATCTTAGCATAAATATAGATGTTCTTTTCAGATATTTCTACATTTTGAAGCAAACATACAACAAATTCAGTTTAGAAATATAAATAGAAGTGTATCAACAAGTGATAATTATTGACTTAAAATAATAATACAGGAAGGCAAAACAGAACTCAACCCTATGGAAAAGGATGCTTTCATTAGGTTCTACTACTTTTTCCTAGATTACGACCATAATCCTACAATGTTCCAAAACAAAATTTAGATTTTGGGGGATGGTCATGAACAGTTGAAAACATGACAAAATATTTCAAAACTTTCTAAGGTAAAGTTAGGCTGCATCTGCACAGACTGGTCCAAATAAACCCAAGTTTTTACAGCTTGCACTTCAGACTTGCTGGAAACTTGGTTCTGTCTGCACCTGTCCACTTAAACACATAAAAATACTTTCCTCTTTCTTATGGCAACTGTTTTAAGAAACATATATGAATTACATTGGTAGCTGCATTTTACTTGGTTTACACTACATATTATTTGCCTATGCCAGCTGTTTATAGAAAGAAATAATATACATTGGGTATGTGTAAATTATTTGTGGATGATTTGTATTATACATCTAAACTCTTTCCACTTACTGAGAATTATTTTTTCAAGCATAGAAGATATTGAAATACAGTTGAATAGATGGCTACCTTCAATGCTTAGCAAATTTATATGGAATAAATGAACTTTCTAATGCTGTATCCAGAAACAGAGGTTAGGAGATAGCCAAAGACCAATATACACAAATCTTATCTTAGAATGGCATTATATTGAAATACATATTGTAACTGTTACTAATCCCAAGAAAAACACAACATTCGAAGTTCCAAAACCAAACAGTTTTACCTCTTGTCTTGTGTCTCTTTCCTCTTTTTCAATGAGTTTTCCTTTATCTCTTACAGTCCTATTGAAAAAGAGAACATCAATCTTATTGGTTAACTCAGAAGAAAGCACTAGTTTTGTTTTGGTTTTCTTTTCTGTTTTTTTGTTGTTGTTGTTGTTGCTGTTTTAGAAAAAATAGGTCTCTCTTCCTGAAGAGGAAAAAATAGTTGAAAATTTCCAATAAATTTAAATAGTTCTACAAATACTTTTATAGATTTCTATTTATGACATGAAATGATAATGAAAGAGCCAAGTGATTAATCATCTAAGAACTGCAAAAATCTTGTACAAATTTAATGCCTATAATTGCATCACAATGGAAGGAAAAGTAAGGAGGAAAAAACCTATTAAACCCACACATCTATTAGTTGTATTAATGTCTGCAGTAAACTGGAGATCAAGATCAGGTTGGTGTAATGTGCTCTAAAACTATAAATCATACTGACATTCAAACCTGGTCTTTTATTCAGGGACTTTATTTATGAGGACAATACAATCAGGGTCAGAGAGCAGGAGAAAAATCAACAACCAGCTCTGCTCCTTAATGATCTATTCGATTATGTTAGAAGTAGAGTACTGGACTTCAAGAAGAGAATGTCCTGACTTCTTAAGTAAGAGAGTATTCATATATACTGCTGTTGGGACTGACAAACATAAGATAAAGCAACAATATAAATAAAAATTTGGCTGGAACCTCTCATAATAAATCAGAATGATTCAACGTTGACAGTGCTTGAAGCTGAACCAGGGTTTTGGGACACCCCAATAATCCACATTGTCCTCCTTGCCATTCAGAAATGCCTAACTCCATTTTTCCATCTATGCACAAGCAATGACTCCCCCACAACACCCCATCAACAACAGCTTCAAAGTATAACTTGTATATTTGGCACAGTTGAGTGCTGCTGCTAGGAAGCATCCCATATGTATTCTGAAGTATTTAATTTTCATATTTTGCACAGGAATTCTCTTCCACAATGACAAAATCGCTACAACCAAGTGATCTGTTCCATGCTTAAGAAACGGCAGTAATACTTAGCCAACAGTGGTAGTGACTTCCCTTCCTCTGTCAGTGTCCCCAGAAGCCAGCACACCGGCCTTCTATTTAGCTAGGAAGCTAAACTAGGGTTTAAGAATGAGAATTGTGATTGCCAACATATCTGGAGCGTTATACTTCAGAGACTTGTATAGGAATTTCACATGGCTGAAGCATTAAAGAACGCAAAGAGAACCAGAATATATAGAGAACTTCTGTAAGATTTTATATTTGCTAGTAACAAAACTTAGAAATATCATCCTGAAATTTTACTGATCCTACTGAGGATGACCTGGAGCTTTCTATTTCACATACAACAGTAAACTTGCTATATATATCTAACGTTTTAAGATGCTATCCAGAGCAGGAACTAAGTAGAGAGAGACAAATTAAAATAAACAATATAAGAGAGTCCTATGTAGTTCATCATGAACCTTGCTTCTGTCCACATGACTGCATAGTGAATTTCCAGGTGGTACAATACAGCATTTCTGTCTCCCAAACTAAGTGTCCAGCTTAATATATATGTAGTTTGCAAGGACTGCAAAATATGTCTTGCTGTATCATGGTAGGAAAAAAAAAGGAATACAAATACATACTTTTTTTTATGAATCCTCTTAGAGGCAAAACACAGATTATTTTTTTATTGCTATAGTATTGTACAAAGGGCCTATGAAAAAAAAATATGTATTCACCCTAGATATTTGAGATCAAGAATTCATTCATCTATGATAGTAGATACCATACAGTATAAAAACATACTTGTTTTTAATATCTGAATTTACCTTGCATGTTGACGGCTCATTTCTTCTTGAATCCTCTCCTCTTTTTTGTATTCACTGTTCTGGAAAAGAAGTCACAATATTCATGTGTTAGATGCGCGGGGAGGAAATAGGTATATGAACCTGTATTAGTAGCAGTAATATTAAACAGTAAGAAAGGTTTCTAATTAATTATTTCAATGACACATACTATTTTTTTATGAGTCCTTGTTCGTAAGAAGTTCTATGTATGAACTAACATCAGAATAACCTCCTTACAGATATGGAAAGCAAAAGAATATAAACACCCTTAAAAGATATAATATACACATAATACGAGCTTCTCCTGACAATATTAAATATTTGGGAGTGAACTTTGGCTACATCCCCTTCTGCAATGCATTTCAGAAAGGAAACAAGAAGGGATCTTGAGTCTACTCCTTTGCTTAACAAAACCTTATAATGCTTTACCAGAGTAAATTCCAGCTTTTTTATAGGATACCTTCACATTACTGCTTTAATAACAATGGTTAAAAGTGCTCTGGGCCCAGTGTATACTGCTTAAATTGTGAGCCCAGAGCACTTTTCTAAATGACCCCTAGGCATGACTGAGAAGCTGATAGGGACCAAGGGCTGACCTCAGTAAGCTGTGGCCAGCCTGTTTCAAAGAATGAGATTTTAACAGTACCGACTGTAACAATTCACACCAGTTGGACCCAGGGACAGAGAACAGTCTCAGGCACTTTTAATCATGCTCTGTATAAGAAACATAAAAGATATTCTGTGGCTTCAGAAGCGGAAGGAAAAAACATAAATAGAAGGGATGTATACTCACGTGCCTACTTGTGCGTTAGATAACCATGCTCCCTTTACAGGCAACACTGAAAATAACTTTTATTAAAATCATATTTATTTTCTATAAAGTCAACCAATACATTTTAACGGACCTCTAGCCTAATCTCATATCCACTTCAAAGCGTTAGTAAAAATTTCAAAAGTTATAGCAATAAATAATTTTATGAATAAAAGATGTTTCTAGCATAAAGACAAGTTTCTACTTTAAATTTCATGGAAGAAATCAGCTCTGGGTTACAATACGTAAATGCAGATGTATTTTAATCTATGACTTGAGCCTCAAATTTCAGTAAATGTTGACTTACAATCCTAGTATTTTTATTATTCACCTTATCAATGATGACATATCAACAATTAAAGTAAGTTAAAAGGTAATGTTTTAAAGTCTTAAAAAAACTAACCCTTAGATCATGCTTCTTTCTTTCATTTTCTCTACTTTTTATTCTCTCAGCAGCTTCTGCTGGTTGCCCTTCCCTGTCTCCATGGGAAGATCCCTCTTTAGATCTTTTTAATTTATGTTTTTCTTCCTCTTCCTTTTCATAACGTTTATGACTTCTCTCTTTTGAGAACCTCTCTTTTCCTGGCCCAACAGAATATTCTTTTTTTTCTCTGTGTCTTCTTTCTCCCTCTTTATCCAACTCTCGATCTTTCTGTAACTTGTATACACGTTCACCTTCTTCAGCTTTGTAGGCTAAAAATTTGTCAATGCTCTTTTTAGTATCCTTATCCTGGAAAGACAAAAATAACATTAAACAGTTAGAAAGCTCTCCAAGACTGTTTTATCTTCACAAATCTATGCAATTTTGGCCATTAGAATGATGGATTTATAAGTGCCTAATCTCCTTCTGTCATGTGGGTCTTTCAGCCTTTTTATCTCTTACAATGGCAAGTTTCAAATTATCATATCACTTGAGATTCTCATATTTCTTCTGGGACATCGCATACTCTGCTACAGAAAAAAACTTTCGATTATGTGTTCTGCAGACAAAAAACTAATTCTTTGTTTACCAGGTGGTCTAACATAAAATAGGATGTATATTTACCAAAATCCTTGTAATGCAGGCATAAATAGTAGACGGAAAATTCTGATGTAGCTATATGAAAATAAAGCAACCCTTGCTACGCAAATTTTATTTTACTTTAAAAAAAATGAGGTATGTCCTTAAAATCAAACGGCTGGGATATATTTTGTTGGTGTGTGTTTTGTACACTTGTGTGGACCTTACTATCTATGCATCTCTTGGATTTTTTGGGAACTGGAGTCTGATCCAGTTTCTTCTTTATTCTACAATTTTATCTTATTCCATTATGAAACACTTCATTCCTTTCCCCTCCTTTACCTTCTTTTCTGTATGTCTTCTTTCTCGCTCTTCGCTTCTTGTTTTCTCCTCCTCTAGAAAATATATGTATAAATTAATGAAAAAATTTTATTATACACAAACTCTGGACATAATTAATTCTAGCATGTAGGAAATAGTATTTCAGTGATGTGGGTTTTCTAAAAATAAATTAATATTCTGTTGAAAATCTCTCTCCAAAGTTGGTTACTCCCTTTCCTTTCCTAATGAATCCCTCTGTTCTCGATTGTCTCATGTAATGGTAAGAGTAACTACCTTCAGCAAACACCCTGCAACTTGAGGACTCAAATGGATCACTCAATAGAGAATGTCTAGGCAGGAAGGTACTTACTCTCTTCAAGTCAAGTGACCAAAAAACTCAGTGACATTCACCCTCTCTTCAGAGGAATGGAAACAAGCACCAAAATTTTTAAAAGCACCAAAATAAAACGAGGTTACCACAAGATTCCATAAAGATACACATTTCAGTAGGTACTCACACCTGCCTGTCTTTATCCTCTCTGTACCACCTGTGCATAGTTTCAGAGTATTTCTATCTAAATACCAAATATTTCAAAGTGCAACAGCAACCCAAAACAACTTACCTAAATGATGCCTGCTTTCTCTTCTTCTATGATGTTCTTTATCTCTTTCTTCAAATGATTTCAGATTGGTTTGTGTATCTATTTGCTTTATCTCATGTCTTTTATGCTTTTTGTCTCGTTCTCTATTGCTCTCCCTGTCTTTATCTTTTGGTACATGGTATCTTTCCTTCTCCAAACTTGATTCTTGAAGCTTATCTTGGTATCTCTCTCGGTCTCCTTCTCTCTGGTGCTCTTTTCCCCTTTCTCTCTCTCTCATTTTATCCCCATCTCTTTCACCAGATTTAAATCTCTCTCTCATTCTCTCCTTACTCTTCCCTCTGTCTTTGTGTTCATGTTTATGAGTGTCTATGTCATGAACAGACTTCTCTTTCTGAAATGTCTTTTCTCTGTGCTTTTGGTCTTCATTTTGACTATCTGGCTGTGATGCCTGAAATAAAATAAAATAAAAAAATCTATTATTATAATTAGGCAATCTATTTAGATATAGTATATTCATGGGAAAAAAAAAGTGGATTGCTAACTATGGATTTAATTTCCCAAACTGTATTAAAATGCTGATATATTTCTAGGCTTACTTTGTAAAATTGTTAACATTGTGTCTGTACTTATTGTAAAAAAAATAAATAAATAAAATAATTAGCTGCATTTTCAAAGTATTTGAAATTAATTTAGTAAAAAAAAAAAAGAACATTTACTGTGGAACTGTGCACTCTGCTTAGAGCTAGGTTGAAAAAGTAACAAAGCATCTTAAAGCTGTTAGCTCACGTAGACAGAAACTGTGCCATCTTGTAAAATATGTTACAGGTATAAACAATAATAATAGATATCTGGGTGTCCTGCAGCTGCCTTTAGAATAGAAGATTAGCTTTTATTTGAACAGAAAGCAACATATAAAGACTGTGAACGAAAGTTTTTGGCCTATATCCCTTGAGGATGCAACTATTCTTGTATTTTTCCAGTCATAAGAGATCATATTTTAAGCTTCCTGAAGCAAGTAGCACAACTCCCACTGATTTCACTATATCCACGATTTTGGGTATTTATTCAATGCAGAACAAACAGCACTTACTTTGATTACAGTCATTGAATAAAGTGAACTCAACTTTATCCATCTGTTTCACAGAAATGAAAGTCCAACCACACCACTTCTGTTATAATTAAAGTATTTCAACTCAAATATTTCAACTCACATTTGTTAGCTTTAGCCCACATGGAAGTAGTGGAAACACTACTGAATGTCAAAAAAATACAAAGTACTTATACTGCAGCACTGGTACTAAAATAATGCGGAGCTAGGTAATAGAAAGCTAGGTAATAGATGAACAAGTAGGATGCTTTAGTTTATCAAAGGACCCATGAAGGTCTGCACAAGAAAGAAAAAAAGATCCATATTGGAAAACAGCTTTTAAAAAAATATAGCGCAAAAGTTATACGGACATCAGTGGTGTTACTGACTGAAGCCTGAATGCCTGTTTGACCAGTGAATAAATTAACCGGTTTAAAAGTGCATGACAAACATGATAGATGACGACAACAAATGCAACACATAATATACATGCAGGAAACTTAACGAGTATATATAAAGCAGAGCTGTAACTTGGATTTGCGTGGCCAGCAAATCAGACCCCATTGTGTGCTGTGGGATTACCACAACAATGGTATTTGTTCCATTTACCTAATTAAGAGTAATCTTACATGACTTGTGTAGCTAGACAGTTGAGCGGGCCAGCCTCTGGACACACTTGGACTGGACAGATTCCAGAACAGTCAGGTGTAGCAAGAAATTTAACAGCTACACATTAAAGACCCATACTGTTTCTATTCAGTGGTGCACATTTAAAGTGCCTGGTGTACCAAAAAGCCTTAAAGAGCTATTGGCTAGTAGAACAAGCAGTCAACCCTCTATGTTTAGATCTCTAATAAATTCCATTGCTGTAAAGTAACTTAAATCAAAAATAACAGAAATAAAATAAAATTACCCTAATATGTTTCCTAAGTTCTTCTGATTTCCAAGTATCTTCTCTGGTTCTTCTCTAGAATAGAACAGACAGCAAAAGACTGAGCAATCAAATTGCAATGAGAAGTAAATCACTTAAAGAACAGTTTTTGAAGGAAAGGATCAAGGCAAGTGGCAATCATGACAAGTACCACTGAATTTTGTTATGCAAACATTAATTTGATTTAGCCTTAATGCATATACTTACAGTGTACCTGATGTGACTGGACCTGGAAGCAGCCTGAAGTTCAGACTTCTGCTGGGTTACCCAGCTCTGGATACACGTGGTAACCAGTTTTGAGGTCAGTGCCTATGGTGGATGATGGTGTGGCCCTTCATAAAAGCTGAAATTGCCCTTCCAATGATAGCAATTCAACTATGTTACAGAGCAAATGGTCAGGCCACTTTTGGAAAGTAATGAATGTATCAATGTGATTAGGTTCAATCGCCTGCTCTGTTAGACCTAACTTCAAAATGAGTCCTGGCCAGGAATTTATTCAGGTGAGGTTTTAGTATCTCTGAGGTTGGAGTTTGTCTGGGCAATCTGGTTTTCAGGTTTGATCACTCTCATTTAAAAATGTTTTCTTATACTGAGTGATAATTTCCCCTGCTGATAGTTAGGGCCACTGCCTTCTGTCCTCTCACTGTACATCTCAGAGTGGCTCCATCTTTTCCACAGATCCTCTGTACATACTTGAAGACAGCAGTTAAATCCCCTGTTAGCTTTCTTTTCTCTAGCCTGAACCACTCCTTGGCCTCCTTCCCACGTACATCAGGGCTCCAGCCCAAGAGCCATCTCAGTGCTTCCCTCTGGAATCTCTTTAGTACCAGGGGCCCCAAAACCACACACAGTACCGCAGACAGGGCCTCGCAAGTGCTAAGTCTTCCCTACGCCTGTTAGCTATGGTGTTCGTGATACACATAACCAGTATGTGGTTAACCATAACCACCTGAAGAGCACCCTGATCACTTACATTCAAGTTTCTGTCCACCAGGACCCCCAGATCCTTTTTCTGCAGAACTGCTCACAGAACCCATTCACACGGCAAAGAGTAAATACAGTATTTTCCCCTTAGACATATCATTTCAGCTGCCCCAAACTCAGCTATAAGAACATTTCAGGGGATAACTAACATGGACAACTAGTGAATCTAAAAATACCATGACAAATGTAATCTTTCCCCCCCCCCACTAGCAGGGATGTGGCATAGCCAGAACACATTTTTGTTAGACTTTTAAAAAATGAAAGTTGAAAATAGTTATATTGCTGTGAATTTCAAGTGAACCAAGGAAGCTTCTGGTTCAGTAATTGCTCAAAAAATGCTGGCACTATTTTTCAACCAACTGTCACAATATTTTTAAAAGGTTCAGACTACACATGTAAGTTGATTGCCATATGAAACACTTGTGTGTAGCACTGAAGAAAAAAGTAAAAGGATCATGAAAATAATCAGAGTATACATGGACATTGTTTCACTAGTCTTCTCCCTAGTTAAATAGGTTATATTTCTTCTATCCTCATTTGCAGAGTTACTGCCCTTAACTACTTGGCTAAACTAAAAAAATCATACTGTCTGAGTTCACTAATCTATTGACTATTTTTAACTAGTTCATTGAAGGATGAGGACTATATTCAAAGTGACACTACCAGGATACACTTATTCTCAAATTTACACTTGGTAAGAGTTACTAAAGGTTAACAAAATAATCGCTGATAACTATTTAAATTATGAGCTGCACTGGTAGAAGGAAATAAACATATGGTTCACATTTTTTGCTAATTTATTATACGGAAGCAGCATTTTAGTACTACATTTTATTTTTTTAATTATTCTACATGAAAAAATTCTTGGTTTTCAAATTTAGATTTTATAGAAGATTGTAGTGGACTGGTCAGCTTCATCTAAAGTCAATCAGAAGTATGAAGAATGCAGCCTTTGTAACAAAATGAAAGTGCCCTTTATGTTTTATTTTCTTCTGATCCTTAAAAAAAGGCAAAAAAGTACAAATACTACTGCGGAAAGTCAGATGAGAAAAGAAAATGAAAGTTGATCGTTTTCTTGAATAAAATTTTTAACAAAGCCTAAGAAACTCAACAGAACTTGTGTAAGGGTAAGCTATATGGAAGGATATGGATGGGAAGAGAACAGTGCTGTATTATAGTCTCAAATAGTAACCTATTTAAAAATCCCTAACATACATGGTTATGTTTTGGGTTTAGATGATATTTAGGTACATATAAGCAAAGAAAGAAATAATGCTAATGACGTTGATAGCCTAAAAACAGCATAACCAATAGACAATATCAGATAAAGTAGTTTGAGATTTATTTCAAAGCTGAGGCAAAAAGCATGCAGGAAACATTTAGAGATGATTTTCTGGTGCCCAAAAAGGTGCGTTTGCCATTTTTCTGGGGTCTGCAGTTTTAATGTCCTCACCACCACTAGAATCTGTTGCTTTTATATATGATGATTTTCCATTAAATTCTCTGCTTTTGCAGGAGACTAACAAACAAATAGAAAAAGAGATAAAAAATATTTATAAAGCTTAAAGAAACAACACCTTTGAGACAACTGTCCCTCTGGAAGTAGAGGAATCATTGTACACATAAAAATAAATTTAAAAGAATTTATTGAAGTTTCTCACCTGTCTACTAATTTAGAAGACCTTATATACTAACTTAAATACAGATTAAGATTAGTTATTTAAACCACACTGGGGTTTAACTTAATTCATCCACCTGAGAGCATGGGGAGCTCATCAGCTGACATGAAATGCCACAGATTTACTGAACTCAAAAAGTGCTACAAAAATTTTTAACAGTTAAGAATCTGTCCTTTAAACCAAACAATAAGTATGATGCCTTATAAAGTCAGCAGAACAACAGACCTTGTTACTTTAGATAAACTCTTTAAGAGAGATCAAGAGGAGTTTCTTCACTCACAACCTAGAAAGACTGGAATTTTTCAGAACTTAATATTTAGTTTTTAGCTAAGTGAAGAACCCAGTTAACTATGATTCTAAAGAAAACAACCCACAAAAACAGTAAAATATCTGTAGCCTTTAAGCCAGAGAAAAGTACTTTATTTTTTACATATAAATATTTATCTTTCTTATTTCCGATAGGAGTTGCCTATTTCAAAGCCTTCCAATAAGTAAACAGCACAAGCAATTTGACAGAAAAGAAAAAGCAAAAGGAGGCTTTCTCATGCAGTGTGGCTATTACTACAACTGCCTGTGGGTCACTGGCAGTCTTACATCAACACACCTGAAAAATTTTTGGTCCAAGTTTAACTTTCCATCACAATTCACTAACTCTCCTCTTTCCAGTAAAAAGGTTATTGATGTGCCACAGCTACTGAAATGGCACCTAAACACAAGTTTTTAGAGTGGTCCAAACATACTACTTCTCATACCCTGCCCAGCCACTC